GTAAATGGGAAGTACCTAAGCTGGATGGCATCGGCTAGAACCTCATTGACCTTGATCCCATCGATGAGCTAGTGGAATCGCCTCAGGTGTGATCAGGGCCACTCCCCCTCCTTGCAACGGAATACCACCGAACCGCGCAGCATGGTGATGACAGAGGTGCTCACCTCAAAGTTATTTGCTGGAACATGAGGGTGCTGAATGGGAGACCTCATGTCCGCGGCTCTGGCGGTCTTGTAATACCCCATGGTTTGCTCCTCGGGGATGACCACATCATGGTCATGTGGGTCACCCATTTCTTCCTCCTTGGCGATTTGCAGCTGTGCTAAAGCCTCCTCCGCAGCAGCCGCGCCTTTAAAGCCCGCTTGAAGTTCCTACAGGTCCGTTCAAGCTCTTGGTCTAACGGTAGTAAATCTACCGACTAGCTACGGGCCATGCACTACCTGCACACAGAATGCAAACACAACCCGTGAAGGCTCAAAGGTGGAAGAGAGAGAATGCAGAAAATAAAAAGCTAGAGTAACAAACTTTCACGTTTCCATAATAACCTAGAGTGTCCCCGGCAACGGCGCCAAAAACTTGACACGCTAAAACACAACACCAAACTGCGACCAAGCGTAATCGCAGTCTGGAAATGCAATAAGTGGAAAGCTCTATTTGTCAACCCGGGGCCTAGATCTACTGCCTACTCCGTGACTATTTATTATCTAGCAAACTAAGTCGAGTGATTGTGGTTTTAACTAAAAACAGTAAGAAAGCAGGAAATGGTTTGGTTTTCTAAAGCAAGGGAAGAGTCACTCGGGAATGAGTCCCCCTAGCTCCTTAGTTAGTTCACAGTCGTAATTACTTTTGGTTGCTTTACTGTTGATTATACTGCGGAAGATCCGACAGTAGCTTGGAATCTCTTAAGCTGACCAAGCCCTCTCGGTCAAACTACCCGGCAGATGACTAGTCTTCACCGGGATAGAAAGCTGAGGCTATGAACACAGAACTCCACTACTGGAACTGAATTCCAGTACAAAGCAGTAAATCGATTAACTCTCGTATAATCGATTCACTACTACCGATTGAAGAATCTCTAACAACCTAATCAGATTCTATCTATCTCAGGTTGCAGCAGAAATCAATAAAAGATGATCAGGCTTCAATTGACTCAATCAAAACACTTCAATCGATTATAATCAAACAATATCACAATCCAAAGGTCGTTACAACAATGATCCCTAACACATAGAACTAGGGTTCTTCATACTCAAGTGAGAGAGGGTTCTACTCCATAGAGAGAAAGATAAAAACAGCAAACAAAGCAGTCATACTCATCAAGATTGGAAAAATCTGCTCTGGGATGATGATCTTCACTCCAAGGATGATTTCCAAACTTGATTGATGAAACCCAGCTCCAAAATCACTCTTAGGGGGTGTTCTTCGCAAGGCCAGAAGCGCACGGCCCAGTGGATTTCTAGCTTCAATTAAGTAACCGTGTGAGCTCCCTGGAATTTCAACACGGCCACAAGGGGTCCAATACACGGCCAGTGTGGCTTGGCCGCGAATTGGATTCCACACGGCCGTGTGGCTGCTAGGTCTGGCCGTGTGGATTCCTCAGCTTCTTGCTAGACGTCCAACTTTCGTCCAATCGACCCAAAACTCGCTCTCAAACCTCCAATCATGTACTAGGACATGCAATAACACAAACAAGAACAACCTAGCGTGAAATCGAGCTAAGATACGAGAAATGAGGCTCAAACAGCATAAGAATGGTGGATAAAAACATGTTTATATATCAAGTCATCAACGACTCTAAAATATTGCAAGAGCCAATTTATAAAATCAATCAGTACATTTGCGGTGTACTAAACAAACTTCTACTAACTACTTGTAACAAAATATGCGACATCTACATAAGCAATTGGTAACAAATTGGTACGGTAAAAAGGGCTGACTGCTGTATTGACGACCAACTAAAAGAATTGGTCAAAAGCTTTCAATCATCTACTTCCTCTTCGTTTCATTTTCCATTCGCCTTCCATATATACACCTTTCTTTATTTCTTTCTTTTCCTTCTTCGTCTAACCCTAGTTAGTATACTATTTTTATATATTCTAATCACAAGTATGAACGGGTCCATAAACGACTCACCAACAGTCTAGAGAACCAATAATTCAACCATGAACCAGTAACTTTTCAGCTCAATGTCAAGTCCAATTACAAATAAATGTATATGGTTATTACTTATTAGAAAGTCGTCATATTCCACTATGAGATTTGAAGGCGTGAAATTTTAAGCGAGTTCCAGTTTGTATCCTTCTCTGGAGTTTTTCTTTTTCAGTCGGGCTAGAATTTTCAACAATTATACATGGAATGTTTGGCTATGTATCTACACATATCAAATAAATAGTTTCCATTTTTTTATAAAAAAGTAAATAATTATCATATTAAATACATCACCATAACAGGAATTAAGCCTCAAATATGCAAATTACAGTTATGTACCTAAACTTAATAGAACTTTAGATTTATAACCTAAATTATTTTTTTGGCATATAAGTCCTCAAAATATTGTTGGACATTATATTTCCATACCTAAATTTTTTGTATATTATATTTTGGTACCTCTACTTTTGAAGTTCTACAAATATGTCTAATTTTGTATGTGTAATTAAGACATCCTTGAATAAATGGATATCAATATCCAACTCATACACATTAAGATTATGAAAGTACATATCCATACCCTACCCAAATCCATCTACAAACTTCCAAACTCACATATGCGTCACCCATACCCTACCTATAATCAATGGGTCTACTTGGGTTTAGGTATATATCATTTACTAGCAAAAAATTTTCAAAATTGGATGTTCACCGCCATATATCTCTTCTCAGTCAAGATCATATTATAAATTCAATATTACTAACAAACTTGCTAACAAAAAATTAGGTTTAGACTAATAATACTAACAAAACATCATAACGTGCCACATAATACATGCCAATAGGTTATCTCCGCCCCGTGACAAGGCGCGACATCGCCACTTAGTTATAATTAATTAGGCTACCTTGAATTGTTCGACTTCATACCAAGCATCATTCTAGGTTAACCAAAAAAAAAAAAAAAAATACCACGCGATTCAATGTGGATCGCTATTGTTTCAGCAATGATCTTAATAGTAGTTTGCGTGACACATCAGCAAACTGCTCCCAACTCGAATGTTAGGAAAATTTTAGTACAAGTTTTGTATGTTGGAAATTGTTTTCCGTAAGTGTGGTGAGAACATTATAGGCTTTCGGTAGTTTCGGTTTGGGCTAGGGTGTTTTCCTTTTGGGTGAAGTTTTCCTTTAGTGTTTGGGAAGGGGTAGCCGAATAGGGGCAGGACTAAGTTACGTATTAGGCTTTCTTGAGTCTATAAATATGTTACTTTGACATTAGTTCCGTATCAATCAAATAATCAAATGTTTATAGACACCAACGTCTTTCTCTCGCTTGTGAGTTACAAGGATGATTATCACTTAGGCGAGGCTCTCACCCAACGATATGGAAGCGATGGGGAGGAAATAGTGCGTCGCGGTGGTCACCACCTCGACGATGCTCTCACCTATAAATCTGGAAGTTGTACGAAGGAGGAGATCGAGGCTGGAGCAGGGACCAATAGAAGCAGTGTTGTTGGTGGCAACCCCAACTTTTTAGATTTGCTTGAAAGGCCGCCGTCGATGCAGCGTGCGTCGGATGGACGTTTGGAATTTGGTGGCTCGGGTTTGCGTAGGACACTACTTATTCCTCAAATTAAACACACAAGACGGGAATTTGCATGGGACCAAGATGATGATTATGGAGGTCGATCAAGCCTCATTTTATTTGCCCCAAGCACTAGCCATTTTGTCAAAGGATTGTGTATGTATGTTTCACCTTGAGCTGACAAGTTTGGAGTCCCAATAATGCATCTAGAAATCCATGCCCCAGTCATTGGAAGGAAGGCGAACAAAGGTCGATCTGCAAACTGGAAGTTCCGAAAGCGTTGCAAGTCTGGTCGTCGCAAGAGCTGCAACTGCTTTCGTTGTCGACCTCCACGTCTCGGCATGGACCAAATTTTGGGGAGCAAGGTTCTTTGAGGGGGAAGGATTGATGAGAACATTTTGGGCTTTGGGTAGTTTCGGTTTGGGCTAGGGTGTTTTCCTTTTGGGTCAAGCTTTCCTTTTGTGTTTGGGAAGGGGTAGCCGAATAGGGGTAGGACTAGGTTACGTATTAGGCTTTCTTGAGTCTATAAATATGTAACTTTGGCATTAATTCCATATAAATCAAATAAATCAAAGGTTTATAGACATCAACGTCTTTTTCTCGCTTGTGAGTTACAAGCAAAACCCTTGAATTGGGATAACGGTTCATCCGAGTGTGATAGTTTGGGGTTTCTCCCCTCATTGGAGCACCGAATTTTGTAAAGTACGCATGCTACCCCAACATTCCCCAAGTAATGCAATAATTTAATCTTGTAAAGTACGTATGCAATTGGTCTCTCCCCTAATTGGCTGTACTACTTATACCTTCCATGTTTACGAGCCATGACACCTTACTTGGGGAATGGCGGGTTAGCTCAAAATTGATTTATTCCCCATACCTATCAATACTTGGGGAATGGCAATTGGCAGGGCCTGGTCCATGCACCACTACTTATTGAAGCACCGAATCTCGTAAAGTATGCATGCATGTTAGTGGAACGATAGGTATAGGGAATAAAATTAATGTTGAGCTAACCCACCATTCCCCAAGTTATGCAAGAATTTAATCGGTGTTTGAGGTTGTGGTATGCGGTTAAATTTACCTAGTTCAGTTGTAAGACCAAGATCGAATTTCGCTAGGGTCTCTCACAATCATTCACGTACTTAAATGGTGAGGGACGAGGTCTATGATTTCAAAACGCCACTGTGAAAGTTTGAGGTACGATCTTAGTCTTCGGACCTGTTAACCTTCACTGTATATATAACACAACGTCATCACCAATTAAATACTTGCATTGCTTGGGGAATGGTGGGTTACCTCAACGTTATAATTTATTCCCAATATCTATCTTTTTCAACCAACATGAATGCAATAACTTTAGAAGATACGGTGCTTCTATAATTAGTAGTGCTGCATGGACCAGTAGCCAGCCAACACTTGGATCGCCCTATAAGAAGAGCACCTCCATGCACCCACAAGGCTCCAAATCATTCACATTCCTAACTAGTTCGACAGTTGCAAGCAATAGACGACATGGCTCAACTACAGAAACTCGAGACGAAGGTTGCAATGAAATCACCAGAGAAGATCGCAGCTTTCTTCAGGGACAGCTTCACCTCCCTGCCTCAATTGGCCCCTGACCTTGTCAAAACCGTTGAGGTCATGGGAGGCGGCCACAAGGCAGGGCCTGGCTCCGTACTGTTTATCAAATATTCCCTACGTACGTAAGACAGTCTTTTTGGCGAAACAATAGTTACTTCTCTCTAATCGTTTTGATTGCATCCTTATATTGAAAACCCTAAGAATATAATCCAGCTGGGAGCCCAATAACGAGTGTGAAGGTCAAGTGGGAAGAAGAAGCCATGGACACAGAAGAAGTGAAGTCGTTGACGTTGACGGTGTTAGAAGGGGACGTCCTTGAGATGTACAAGAGTTACAGTGTGAAAATTGAGATGGACAGTGGCGCTGGCCAGTCGGGATGGAGCATTCAGTATGAACTGGCGAACCCAAATGTTCCCCATCCTCATGTCTATATTGAAGCCTGCAAGTATCTTGCTAAAACCTTCGATGAATACTGCTGAAGATTTCAATGCTTAATTATAAACGCTTCTACTGTACTACGTTGTTATGGTACTCATGATAATCAGCTCACTCGTGAATTGGTTTCAAGAGATTAAAATAAGAGACCACGAAGGCGACGGGCTACGTTGTCCTCTGGCATTTTAAGTTGTGTTTTACCGTTGGAGATCTAGAATCTCAGTGGAATTAAAAATTATATTGCATCTATGTTTGTGTTAATGCCATTGTTCTCCTGTGTATATATTAATTTGTACTGCAATCTATCTCTGTTGAGCACAAGGAGTGGCCACAAGATTCCAACGGTTTGTACCAAGATGGGCTGAAGGCGTTGGGTGGTACCAACATTTCCTAACCGCTTCAAGGTTTGGATTTGAAACTTTTGGCAGTAAAACAGTACAACGGATGAGCTCTCCTCTTGGCAAGAGATTTCGCCTTCAGTCGTGTGTCTTCCACTTCTAAGGTCGTACATATTCCTCGTCGATTTTTCCTGAACTTCTTTTAAATACCAATTAATATATACCTCGTGTTTTTCTTTGACTTCTTTAACCCATTGGTCTCAGGCGTATTTATAAATATGTCACACGAATATGTGGTATTGCGATCATGTCTTTTTGCTTAGCAAGACAACATTTTCAATTTACAATATTATCTCCAAGTGACGTATTAAGCACATAAAAATGTTGTTATATTTCTAATAAATTTCAATGTCAGTATATTAGTTCACATATTTATGATAGTACGTACAATTAGAAATTATATTCTTGGTTTTCTAGATATAAAAGAAGGTTATTCTCTCCTTTCTCAGTTTTCAATTTCAGATAAACATGATATGAAAGATTAAATTAAATTTTGTATTTGTTTAACAAAAAAGGTATTCTTTTCACCTTATTATTTGTAATTATTATGCAATTTTTGATAATGATTAAATTAAGCTAAAGTTCCTTTTAGCCGTTAATGATTTTTATGATGGATGGAAAATAGAACATATAACTTATCAATTACATTTTTTTGTAGTACAATTTATGTAGAAGTTAGATGGCAATTTTCAAAATTGAATCGGATATGAACCGATAAAGTAAAAGATATCAAAGGCAGAGATTAGGTTTAAATATATTTGATGACATGAGTTAATGAGTACTATTTTCTTGTGACTAATATCATCAAATAGAATTTGCCCTATTGGCTAAACAATTGAAGTCAGAATAATTACGGCACGTGGCAAATAGTTTCTCCACAACTCCATAATATAAGTTATAAGAAACCATAGTTTAAGTTTTGTTGTTCATTAATCAAGTTTTACGTAATTACTTCAAACTTTAGGGGCAATAGCACAAGAGGTCGGGGTCACATCAACTCCCTCTTTTTTCCTATGGGTGTTCAAATGGTTACTATGGTTATTACCAAATTAAATAAGGTTAAATTTCATTAACCATGGAATACAATATCATAACCAAACCATCCAAACTAATACAACAACCAAATTAAAGTTTAAATCGGTTTGGTTAGTTGGTTAACCAGATTAACCAATATAAAATCACATTATCATTAAGTGAGAAAATTTTGGTTAATTTATCAATTCACAATTTATATAATGAATAAAACATAACAAAATTACATGCAACTAAGACAATTATCTTACGGATAGTATAAAAGTATTCACCTAACAAAAAATTTATCACAATGGTATGGGTTAATGATTTTTATGTTTGTTTTAATTGACTTAGTCTTTTAGCAATTTTCATAGGCTGAAAAGGACATTGCTTTCAAGTTTTCATCCAACATAATGTATGAGATTTATCTAACTTAGGCGTTCATATGCTGTGGTCTACACTCTACATATACAAATATACATTATAGGGAAAATATCAAGCTTAATATTTTATGAGTCTAAAAGGGATGAACGTTTAACTCTTGAGTGGTTATTAAAAGTATTAAGTATGTGTATATATAAGATATACGACTAATTATTTATCTGGTTAATATGGTGGGGCGGGGCATGGGTATCTACTTCTGACCCGCCCTGCCCCTCCCCGCCCCGTTCTAGACTCATTTTATCTCAATTTCTTACAATATCTATACATATTTCTCCTATTTTGACTTTTCTTCAACTAGTTAGAGTTGATCTTTCAACTTGTTAGGCTCAATTATCCATTCTATTATCAATATTTTTCATTCTTAAAGTGCTTTTCCCTACGTTTTATTGTAAAAAGTAACATTTACTTGTATTTTTTTTTTTGAACAACATGTAAGAGTGGGTTGACCCGGCCCGCCCCGTACCCGCGCGGGTTTTACCTGCCTCGACCCGTAGGATCGTGGGGCGGGGTATGGGAATTGAGGTACCCGCCCCGCCCCATTGCCATCACTAGCTGGTTAGGAGTGTCTGAAACCAAACCAAACCACCTAAACCAAACAAGCTAAAATCTTTATCCAAACCAAACCAATTATCCAAATCAACCAAACCAAATTATCCAAATAGTACTGGTCAAAACGGTTACCATGATAACCAAACCGTTTAAACACCCCTACTATTTCCTATGTTGCTGCTATTGGAAGAAGAGAAGAAAAGGGGGGAAGAAGAAGAGTGAAGACATAAGCCATCTTCTTTTTGAGCCCACCATCATTACCCACCATTATTTCCACTTTTTCTCTTTTATTTTTTCCCTAATTTCCTATCTCTTTATTCCTAAACCTATTTTTTTTGTTTGTTGTGGTGATGAAATCGATCTATTTGTTCGTATTTACCTATTTGATTTTTAGTCTTTCATAATCTCTCGCTCGAGGTCAAATAGGAAAACCACTAAGAAATCTTCTAACATGGGTTACCATTATTGTTGTGTTGAAATTTATTTTTTTGTTCGTATTTGATATTGCATTCTTACTTTTCTTTTTCTCGCCAATCTATTTGTTCGTATTTGCCTATTTGATTTTACATCGTTAATCATCTCTCTCGCTCGAACTCAAATAGAAAAATCACAGAAAAATCCTCTGACATGGCTCATCATTCTTTAAACTTTTTTTGTTTTGTTATTGTTGTTGTGTTGCAATCGAACTTTTTGTTCGTATTTGGTTTTACATTTTTTTGTGAGAAGCTTTGCATTTTTACTTATCTCTCTCTTTCTCTCCATTTAAATGATGAAAGTAGCATTGTAACCAACAAAATCAAATGCTAACTTATTTCTTTTTTTTTCCCTTCCCTTTCTTATTTTCCATTTCAAATGCATAACCTTCGTAAAACCTCTAATTAACAGTTGTTGAGTTTCAAATATGTAAACTGCCGTCCGATAATTTGTAACTTTATTGGCCAGCGAGGACATATTAATATGAATTCTCTCTCACGTAATCTTAGTAATTTTTCTTTCCGTTCTTGGGATTATTTCGTATAAGTTATATTTTATTAAGTATTTGATGTGACACATTTACAGTATTGTCCTCCACTCGGCGCAATACGCAGGTATTTGATGTACGTCAGGTATATACTATACGTCAGGTGATCTAACCATTAGATGAACTTAGATGAGCTTCGGCCGATCTCAACGGTCAATTTTTGTTTTTCATTAAATCAAACTTCGGGTTGAGGTTTAGAAAATCGGTGTCTGGGGTTTATCATTAGAGGTTAGGGTATAGTATCGTACCTCAAACTCGATTTAATTCATGGTCTAGATAGAGATATCTCAACTAGTAGTACATGACGTATAGTATACGCCTGATCGTACGTCAGTGTGACCCATATATATATATACCACTGACATGATTCTTTTCCTTCATTTCAGAGTCGATTTTCTTTTGTGGAACAGGAGGTTAAATGAACCGCGAGAAAGTTGTTGGTTGGATCATAATAGAGAGATCAACGCTCTCTGCCACTTTTGGCCTAGCTCATTTATCTTCAACACAAACACAACAATGGGATCGCAGAGATGTACAAATTGGCTGAGCGTGCAAGAGCAATGCGAGTTCTCAAAGATCCAGTCCAGATCTTGCAATCGCAAATGCAGGGGTTTTCTTAACTGTTTTTCTCTGGGTTAATTGCATGATTGGCCATTGAGATTAAAAAAACGTTCATCACTCGAAATATTTAAATCCATTGGTGGTACTTCAGTTTACTGAAACCGTTCACGTTTGGTCACTCTCCGTCCAATTCTGTTAACTTTTGCTTATGTGGCGGTCAGCTCTAAAAGTTGACTGTTAAATGTGTGACATGGCAATTTAAAATTAATAAAATTAAATTTTTTAAAAGTCCATATCATTTCCACCTCAGTATCACTTTTTTTTAAATAAATAAAAAAACCCTAATTTCTTCTAATCCCCAATACCAACACTACAAAAAAGAGGGCCTATACCAAGGGGTTTTTCGGCCTATAGCAAGGGTTTTTTAACCCATGCACCAACCCTCGCCAATGCTGCCCCTGCTATGGATAGCAAGGGTTTTTAGCAACCCATGGTGAAAGTACCATCCAGGGGTTGTAGCAGAAGTTAAAACCCCTGCTACATGACAATTTAAAATCCATCAGGTATATGTTTGTACTAAGGGTTCAAACCCTTGCTAAGTTCGTTGCTAAAACTAGCTAAGGCTAAAACCCTTGCTACTTAACAACATAGTTGCAATAGTATTTTACTTATTGCAGGGGTTTAAACCCTTGCTTAATTCGTGGTTAATATAAAATAAATTTGCAATAGAATCTATATTGTTGCTAAAAATGCCTAAAATGGTCGCTAAAGAGGCAAATTCAAAGAATGGTGATTATAATCTGGTTGCAAATACTCAGGTCATTATAAACAAACTCAAAACCTAATATTCAATAGTAATCAAATTCATACGCCTCACAACAATATCCATCAATACATAATCTGTATCATGATTCATGTCCATACTATTGCTCACATGGCCAAACATGAATTACCATAAACATTAAAAGCTAACAAAAAAAACGTAACCTACTATAATATTTTCTCCAAAGAGCTTGATGTTCCTATCAATTCATTGCCAGTCCGAGATCACAACACCCTGAATAAACAAACAAACAATCATCAGTTCAGCAGCTTGGCAAAACACAAAACTCCTTTTGAGCTGATAATGAAGAAGCAGAGGGTTACCCTGAAGTTGAGGGTGCCCTTGAGGTAGCATGTGCTCATGTTCTGGTTGGCATGCAACTTAACGCCTCTGATATCTATTACTCCCCGGGATCGGATCAGACTACATGGACTGTCCTACCAAACTGAGTTTGAATCATTTTCAAAAAATCTGTGGCAACACATAATGTACTAGCTATCATCATTTCTTCGAGGTGAAAAACTCTTCCATGTTTACGCCCCCTTCCGATCTGCCTTCCCGTCTTCAGATCCTGAACCAAACAACCAGAAGAATCGAACACAACATGACAATTTTGCTTTGTTAGTTGCCCGACAA